TGAGTGAGAAACCTCTGCAGCCAGGGCCATCCCACCCAGCTCTTCCCATGGCCAGGAGGGAGCAGGGCCCAACAGCATCAGCCAGGAGGTGCCACCCACCAACAGCCCTGATGGCCCTGAAACCTGTCTCTGCTCTGCCCAAGCCATTCCTCATCCACGCAGGGAGCAGAGCCCCTCCGTTGGGCAGCTAGGGCAGGCTTGCAGATCCCTGCCCAGGGTGTGGGCTCCTCCCACCAGCCCCTATTGCCTTCCCTCTCTCACCCTTTTGGATGACCTGCAGCTCTTCAGGTGCCCTCAGGAACCTCCCGGCCATCCCTGGGAACACAGATGCTGTCACGGCCCCAGCGGCACAGCTCCCCCCCAGTGGCGCTGCCAGCCCGGCCACACGCCCTCCTGCCCTGGCAGGGCTTAGCCCGGGCCCTTCCCACCTGGGGACACGCCAGGGCTGGGCAGGTACAGGGCGGCAGCACCGCCAGGTCACTCGGGGCTCCCTAGCACAGCCCTGGGCCGCATCTGCTGCCGCTGCAGCCCACGGGGCTGGGGCCGAGCTGCAGCGGGGCGGGCAGGGACCTCGTGGCTCACCAATGAACCTGACGGCTGCCTCTCGCAGGGGTTCCTGTGGGCTCTCCAGGTACGGCAGGGCCTGCCGCAGGTACTCCGCCACTCGGCTCTTGTCCTTTCTCAGCTGCAAAGAGCAGCGAGGCGACGCGAGAATGCTTGGCTCGAGCTCTGCCCCTTGGCCGGGCGCAGCCCGCGCCCAGCACCGGCCTTCCCTGCGCGCACAGCCCTGAGGCCCGGGCAGCAGCCGCTGGGGCCGGGCTTTGGAGGGAGCAGAGGGCTGGGTGCTCCCCGGCAGCCGCGGAGCCGCCTCGCCCCACAGCCCAGCTGGGCCGGGGCTGCAGCAGCACCCTGGCTCAGGGCCACAGGAGCCCGCGGAGCAGCCCGCATGCCCCAGGGAAGGCAGCAGCGGCCGGGGCGCAGGCTGCCGTCCCACAGGGGCTGCAGCAGTGGGCAGGGGCACAGTGCCAGCCCCACACTCAGGGCATGGGGGGCTAGGGGTCCGGCCTGGGGCTGGGGTTTCATGGCCGTCCTTACCAGGCACTCGCTGAATGTCCACAGCTCCTTCTTCAACCTCTTCTTGAGATCCGCCCTCTTCAGGAAGCCGGCCAAGCAAAGCAGCGCTTCCCGAGAGGCCTGCAGAGCAACAAGGACTGGGAGATGGCACCGCAGCCCAGGGCACAGGGCCTGTGTCCCTGCACCAAGGCCAGAAGGAGTCTGGAGCCCAGGAGGGGCCAGGGCAAGAGGCAGCCCAGCCCTGTCCCACAGCAACACCAGAGCCCACAAGTGCTCACCTCTGCCACTCTCGGGTTCTCATCGTAGCAGTGGAAGAAGAGTGGAAGCAGGTTCTGCCGTGGCTTCAGGGGCTTTTTCCCCTCTTTCTTTAGCAGCATCATCACCCCACTGAAGAGGAGCATGGAGGAGAGCTGCACACTGCTGTCATCCTGGTGCAAATGAGAAGACCTTAGGCCTGGCTTGCCCAGGCCCACCTGGGCAC